TAATAATAATAATAATAATAATAATAATAATAATAATAATAATAATAATAATAATAATAATATTCATTCATCTACAGTAACGGACTCTCATGATATGGCAGAGACATCGGCTACGTGTGTAGTGCATGTACAGACATCCTTGTCCCCACCGCGAGAATTGTCCATGGACCACCAACACAGCAGAGAGAATAACAACAATAATAACGATAACAACAAGGGTGATAACAACCGCATGTTTCTCTATAAACCCAGTGAGAGCTCTGCTGAACCCACCGCCGGTGATAATAATAACAATAATAACAATAACAATACTACTAATACCAGCAACAACAATCATAATAGAGGAGATCTGGATGAGGATGATGAAGATGAACATATCTGTCGTATTTGCCGAGATGGTCCAGAGATGGAGCGTCTTGTCTCTGCATGTGAGTGCACCGGCTCCGTGCGATGGGTCCACCGCAGTTGTTTAGATCGCTGGCGGCTCGCAAGTGCAAAACGAAATATGCGACACGTTCAACGTTGTGAGATTTGCCGTCAACCATTCCGTATTGCTATTCGTCGTCGTACTTTATTACTACAGAGTTCCCAACACATATTCCGAGTGGTTTTATTGATATTATGTGTAATGGCCTTCTTTGCGGCCTTGGCACTTTTTCTTCATGCGACTTTTGGTGAAATGGCCTGCCGTGCGCCTTGGCGACGTGTTTCTTATTCCACCATGTATACATTGGATGGAGCTGTCGTGACTCTTTTTGCATATTTATTACTTACGCTTCTTGCGGCCTTTTCATTTGCGGCGGTGTACAGTCATTGGCATATGCGAGCTGAGACCACGGCGCATGTGCAGGAGTTTCAACTCTTACCGGTATTCTGGACTCGACGAAATATAATAGCAGTGTGTGTGATTTATCTTTTTGGTATTCTCCATGCCTTTTCACTTGGATATTTGTTAAAACTCTTTATGTACCGCACAAGTACGGTGGTGTGGAATTGGGAGACATCTCCCTCCAGTGGGGCGGTATTGTATATGATGTTGATTACATTCACAGTAAGTGTGGTGCGGTGGGTGCGGGAGTGGCGGGGAAATAGAAATGAAAGAGAAGGAGGAGAACAGGAAGCGAATACCATTGTTATTGAGGCAGAACCACATCCACAAAGAGAATCTCAACAACAACAACAACAACAACAACAAGGAGAAGAAGAAGGAGGAGAAGGACAACAGGGACATACTTCTTCCCCTACGAATGAGAGAAGGGAGGAACCACAACAACAGGGGGAAGTGAATGGTAATACATCTGTACAGCCGCAATTGCGTTCTATACGAGCGGTGGAGTATTGCCCACGGCGCCCAGTCACAATCCGCCCATGAGGTAAAGAAACATAAACGAAAGTGAGATAATGTGAGATATCTATCTATATATATATATGACTTGTTTGTTTGTTTTTTTTCTTTTTATTCATTTTTCCCTGCAGATTTACGCTTTGTTTATTTTAACTATGTATTAAAATGGGAAGGATAGTGACAGTAATGATGAAAAGGGTGTCCCCGTTTGGCTACTGTTTTCTTTTTATTATTATTATTATTATT